ATAGGGGGCTGTGTGTACATTAAAGAGGAAAAAAAAATAGCTTAAATGATTTTAGCAAATGGCTGCAATATAACAAAGAGTGAAAAATTTAAGGGGGTCTGAATACTTTCCGTACCCACTGTATATATATATATAGCATAACATAATATAGTAACCTAATAAAATAAAACATTATATGATTTAATGAAACCTTTGCATTTATAGTGGGTTGTTTTCTGTACTGTTTGCAGGGGATTCTCTCATTAATCTGAAAACAGCGTGAGTGTGGAATCCTAAAATAACTCACTAATTAATGCACAAGCTTTATTGGCAGAGAAAGAAGCGAAGTGTACCACTCAAGATTCATTTCCACAAGGAATGTAGCATCATCCTCGTAGCACTTGAGGAGGTGAAAATGGCACTATGACATTAGAGTGGGAAGAGAATTGTGGAAAAAAAACATCACAACTCTGCGTGTGTGTGTGTTTGTGTTTGTGTGTGTGTGTGTGACTGCTGTAGTCATTCAGATTAAAGATTTCTTCTGTGAATGTTTTTCTTAAGCATGTGTGTGTTGTCCAGTTCAGGCTGCCGTGTCCCTGATAGTTGTCTGAATGACAGAAATGGCCTGACCTTTTCAGTTTTACTGAGCCATCGGGCTGCAGGAGGAGAAAACTTGACCTCGCACAACTGACACCACATCCGTTTGATGCATGATGTTTCTTTGGCTAGCAAAAGATGTGTCAGTAACACACTTGACACAATATGGAACTTGAATGATTCATTGGTTAATGAGTATAAGCAAAATTGCAAAACTGAATATTTTGGGGTATCATTAGCCAACATTATTGCTCTGTTTTTAAACTTGTTGAGCTGCCTTTCTGGCTACTGCCTAGCACAACTTTAGCTGATAGAAGATAGTAGCACATAAATATTGGGTGAAATTAATGCCTTACTGTAACCATCTCATAATTTTGGAACAGAACTTGGGAAAGATGTTTTGAACCTGTAGCGATCACATGCTTTCACAAATCCAGCTTTCAACAATTCTTCCTTGCGTTCCCTCTTCTTCACCACCATAATTTCTTGTTTTTTACATTACTTTAACTCATAAAAAAAAGTTAAGCAATTTCAACTTTTTAAAATACGTTATACCAGATTCAACTCATGTTTTAGTCAATTTAATGTAATTTAAGTTGAAATCACTTACACAGCTAAGTTGATTGTACTTAAAATTAAGGAAGCAACTTTTTTTATAGTATATTTTATATATTATGTATTATATAGATCAATAAATAAATGTGTGTGTGTGTGTGTGTGTGTGTGTGTGTGTGTGAGAGTGTGAGTGTGAGTGAGTGTGAGTGTGAGTGTGTGTTTGTGTGTGTGTGAGACCTAATTTCCAGTGTGATAAAAAATCTAAACGACGGTGGGGGTCGGTGACGCGGTGGGCAATTGACGTAACCGGTGTTGCAGCTTAACACCGGTATAACCGTCAACACCGTCTATCGCGGCAAGCCTAATTCAAAATCATTAAAATATGCAATATTGTGAGAAATGCTTAACACTAAATACATTTAATTATTGATAAGCATGTTAAAATCAATTTTGGTTCTCGTGGAAATGTCTCTTGTTTCAGAGATGTTTATATATTTTTACTTGAAAACCAGACAAAAATATTAATGAAGTAATTCACTATTACATGATTGTAATCCTCTCAGGACTGTATGGTTTTAGATGAGTCATATTTAACAAATCTCTTCAAGACCACATGGTATGTTTTTCCGTGTCTCAGTTCAGCTCTGTTGATCTTCCCCATCAGCTGTTTTATTTTGATCTCTGCATTAAAACGGCTCAGTTTCCAGCACGCTCCTACCAACTGCCTTGGTGCAGTCTGTGTTTACTGATGAATCATTTGGTCTAATTTGTGTCCCTTGTCATTCCCTAACTCACTTCCTCTCCCATCCGACCCCACTCTGCTGTATATCACTGACTCCAAAGAGGCTTTCAGTGGAGGCAGGTGCCCTGCCTTAGCCCTCGTTATGTCAGTGTATCCCCAGCGCTCAAGCAGCTCCATTCTCTTAATCTAATTCAGGGTGCTATAATTTGCATTCCTCTGGCTAGGCGTTAGACAGCAACCATCCAAGATCCTTAACAAGCTTGCAGAGATGCTTAAGTGCCTTCTGATAGAGTCATAATTCCTGTGATTTTTGAGAAATACGTTATTTACGCACCTGTTGCAATTCTCATTCACCTTGTTGAAAAGACCTGCTTAGAATGCAGGTTTTTTGTTTTTTTGGTTTGGTTCTGGTCTAGCCATCCAGTTCACCAGAAGAATGTAGGTTAGGTGAATATGGTAAATTTGACAAATTTTGACATTGGTTGAGCAAGTTGTCGAGCAAGTTGGTCTTACTTCTAAGCTAACAGTTTTTTGTTGATTAAACTGGTCAGTTTTAATGGTTTAAGTTTGAGGAAGCCTGTTCTTTCTGTGGTTAAGCAACCTGATGGAGGTCTTTATTTTATTTTATTTTATTTTATTTTATTTTATTTTAGAATTTAGTGTAGTGTTTTTTTAGTTTTTGTTGTTGTTGAGTATTAATAAGTTCTAAGTATTGTAACTTGTTTATACTACAAGCATATAGTTTTTGTATATAATGAATTATATTTTATATTTAATATAATAATACTTTTGTAATTAATTATAGATTTGTTTTTTTTACTACAAGCCTTTCCTCTCTGTCATTGAGCAAACAGATGGAGGTAATTTAGGTACTAATATACTTTTTTTATTTTTTTATTAATACGTTTGAAGTGTTAAACAAGTATTTTAACTTATTTATGGTATTGTAAGTATATAGTATATGTTAGTATATGTGACCCTGGAGCACAAAACCAGTCTTAAGTCGCTGGGGTATATTTGTAGCAATAGCCAAAAATACATTGTATGGGTCAAAATTATTGATTTTTTTTTTTATGTCAAAAAATCATTAGGACATTAAGTAAAGATCATGTTCCATGAAGATATTTTGTAAATTTCCTACTGTAAATATATCAACTTAATTTTTGATTAGTAATATGCATTGCTAAAAACTTCATTTGGACAACTTTAAAGGCGATTTTCTCAATATTTAGATTTTTTTTTGCACCCTCATATTCTAGATATTCAAATAGTTGTATCTCGGCCAAATATCGTTCTATCCTAACAAACCATACATCAATGGAAAGTTATTTATTCAGCTTTGAGATTGTGTATAAATCTCAATTTTTAAAAAATTGACCCTTATGACTGGTTTTGTGGTCCAGGATCACATATGTTTTATATATAAAAATTATATGTAAAAGTCTAAGTAAATATTTAGTATATGTTTTTTATATATTAAATAGTATTTTCTTTTCCCCTGTTAAGTGTCAGCTAACATATTTAACTGCAATATAACTACAAGTTCTCATGCAGCTTTTTTTTTTTCTTACTGGTTTGTTGTTCTTCCACGTAATGTTTTTGTCTTTTGACTTTTGAGCATCTAGTCCTCTATCCAAAAAAGGTTTATGCTTGCCATATATATAAAAATTATTTATCTGCCATTTTCACTGCAAGCAGTAGCAAACTGTTTTGTACAAAGGCTCTGAAGGGCAAGGTAAAACATCATATTTGAAGTTTCTCCTTGAGTCTAGTTCCTCCATTATTTATTTTTCTGTTGTGTGTAGCAGCAAAAATGGGCAAGAACAAAATCTCAATCCCCCCTGGTATACGCAAAGTGTCCTGGAAGGGCAACACATGAAAAAAAAAGTGTGTTTTTTTTTTTATTCTAATTGGTGCATGAATGATATGAGAGACATGAACATATTATAATATTTTCATGAGTCAAATATATAGTTTATGTAGATTGTATGAGTCGTCATGTACATTTGTCTACTCTAATGAACTAATGCATGTGTTGTGTTGTGTGTGTGTAGGAGCTTGAGGAGCGGCTACGGCAGCAGCACCACATGGAGCTTCAGACTCTGCGGGAGGCTCACAGGCAGAACATCGAGACTCTGAAACAGCAGTCAGAGCAAGAGCTGCAGACCCTCCGCTTCGAACTGGAGGATGAGGGCAAGGCCATGCTGGGTAAAACAGCCACAAACACACACGCTGCAAAAACCCTTCAGAACCTGTGTTTAATTTACTCTAGGTCAAATGCAGTCTTTAGGACAGAATGTCTGCGCTATCATTTTGCAAGTGATGAAATCAGATCCATTTGCTGAGACAATGAAGTCAATATCTGTAATATCTATATGGGTTGCCATAGTGATGGCTTATGTGGCAGCAAGAGAGTAGCTGTCATGATGAAAAAAGAACAAAGCTGAATATTTGCCACTGCTTAAAGAAATCCCAATTGAAATGCCTGTTTAGATTTAAATGCATTTCCAAAGCTCATTCTAATATGATATCAATATATAAGCAGGTTGGATCAGTATGTTAGGTTTATAAAAATCAAAACAAAAGAGAAGAATTATTTTATTCTACAAAAAAATAAAGAACAACAATTTTTGATGGGTGTTTCTTAATTTTATTATTATTATTATTGCATACTACAAATAACTAAACTGATTTGATGAAACAAGCAGCTATATTTTTGTATATGAGACTTGGTTTGTCCAATGTTTCAGGAAATTAAAATGATGTTTTCTGTGTCAATTTCAACTGGCAAATCTGGAAATATGATGCGGTCCAACACTGCATGATTTACAAAGTTCAAATTCAAATTTAATTTATTCAGTTTTATTAAAGTTTTATTAAAGTTTCTCGGTTACGCTCCAATTTATGCTGATCTTAGCTTACAAAATGCCCAAAACTCACAAAAAAATGTGCCATATATCTGTCATGACTGGGTTTCATTGAGCTGGGAAAAATAAAATTAAAATAAGAAATAATACAGTAAACTATTTAAAATTTGCATCATTTTGTTAAATGACTTGTTGACTGCAGTTTCAAGAAACAATTGGAAATAAAAAGGTTTCCTTATTTGTCCTGTGCCATGTTAATAATTTAGCATTTTGTTGGTAATATTAATAAATGTTTGATTTAAAGTACGTTTGCATTTACTTTGTACACTAAGCAGTGTTGGTACTAGATGTTGAATGGAAAACCTCAGAGTCCTGAAGCAAAACCAGTGGAGTTCTACAGCTCTAATTATAGCCCAGTCTCTTTGAAATAAGGTATCATTGGAAGAAACTGGAAAGGAGCATAATGAGGGAGCGCTGACAGGAAATTGCAGGTGGAGGAATGAGTGTCACTTCCATTCCCACCTGTGACATTTATGCTTTAGGGAGAGTGGGAGATGAATGGTTTTTAATTCAGCTCCAGACAGCAGATCATCTCCCTGGAATAGTCTTGTTTTTCATTCCCTATGTCTCTCTCTTTCTCTTGTTCTCCTCTCAGCATCCCTGCGTTCCGAGCTGAACCATCTTCACGCATCAGCCATTGAACATATGCGTCAAACCCATCAACAGGAAACAGTGGCTGCCAAACAGGAACTGGAGAACGCTCTGGAAAAGAGCAGAGTAAAGGTAAACTCTATCCACAGCAGGGTTATTATATTTCACAAGTATGTGTTTTGCACACAGTGTATTATTGGGGTTTCATCAATTTTAGATTTGCCCATACATGTCACATACAAAAAGCTGTAATTGGTTGTTTTGCATTTCAATCAAATGCCATCCTCCTCTCTAATTTGGCGGTTCTTTTTGACAGAATACACACTGCCTCCACTCTTATGTTTGCAAAGACTGCATTTATCCAGTTAAAATACTTTAATACTGTGAAATATTATTACAATTTAAAATTGGTGTTATATTTTCAAATGTAATTTATTCCTGTGATGGCAAAGCTGAATTTTCAGCATCATTACTCCAGTCTTCAGTGTCACATGATCCTTCAGAAATCATTCGAATATGCTGATTTACTGCTCAAGGATCATTTTTTAAATTATTATCAATGTTGAAAAAAGTTGTGATGCTTAATGTTTTTGTGGAAAACTGTGGAACATTTTTGTTTCAGGATTCTTTGATGAATAGAAAGTTAAAAGAACAGCATTTATTTGAAATATGAATGTTTTGTAATATTACAGTATAAATGCCTTTGCTGTCACAACATTTTTCAAATTTAATGCATCCTTTTTGAATAAAAGTATTAATTTCTTTTGAAAAAAAAAACGTTTAAATGGTAGTGTAGATGCATTCAATACATTGATTCAAAGTATGTAATCTTTTTTTTAGTCGTATTTAGTATTCATTCACATTGTAGTACACATTTATATTTTATGTCTTTTTAAATTATTATATAAACAAATGATCTGCGAGTTTCAGTATTGTCGCTGTATAAACTGTCCTAGCTTCTCTACCAGTGTATTCCCATCATTCCCCGACTGTCTCCTACTGTCCTATTGTCTCTTAATCGAGACAGAGATTAACAGTAAGTACAGTAAGTGGATGCTTTTCCAAGAAAGGACAAATCAATAGCGTTCTGCCAACAGTTGGCTGCTATGAAAGAAAAGGACCTTAATAAATCCTCTTGTCATCTGGCTCATGTATAAGATGACAGTTAAACAAAAGAAACGCTAACGGGATTGTTGGCCAAGCAGCTGAAAGGTTGTACAATTTGAGTCTTAAACGCAGACCTCAGGCTAAAATGTGTCTATGAAACGCACATACACAAACTCGCAGAATCAAACTGCAAAGCACTTTTGCATCTCAGTAATGGCCTGTGACTGAAGTAAAATGGCACTTTCTGTGTATTTGCACTCCATTTTTATCTGTTCATCTGGAAATCATGAGATTTTGCTCTTCAGTTCAGTAGGTTAGCATGTGTCTTATGTAATACTTTGTAATATGTATTATAATGTTTTTGGTAAATCGGCGCCCCCAGGTGACAGTGGTCTTTATTTTAGTAGCACCATATCAATACTAATTGGCTCAAAACTGTCTTGTGAGAACTTGCCTAATGTCCCACAGACAATAGCAGAGGTCAAAGGGCAAACTCAGTGTGATCTTTGCTAAAGAGAGGCTGTGAACTGAAAACAGCATCAGTGTAGTTCAGCTCTCTCAGGAGTTCAACAAAACCTGCACTGCTGGCGTCGGGAAGAAATCTATTTTTGCTAAGCATTTACTAAGCGTTTCCAGCCTCGGTGCGTCATACATCACCCAGGAATGACAAATGAGCATACGCGGAAAGCACAGATGCACGTTTTTTGGGTCAAACTGTGAATATTTGTGTCTTGTGAGATTAGAATTGTTTCATGTGCGTCTACAATCAAACTGCGGCGTCTGTCTCGAGGACACGGTTGACTTTGCTGTGTTGAGTTTTCTGTAATACCCTTACATACTCTCAGTAACATCCCTTACATAATAAGGCTGGGAAAAAAGTGTTTAACCTTCCCCCAAGACTCCTGCCGATCCCACTGGTTATGACAGCACAGGCAGATGTGTCATGAAAGAGCCGTGAGAAACATGGGTTTATGTTTTCTAGTTCAAGTCATTGTAACAGAAGGTGTAAAAATTGCTTTGTCAGTTAATTTGAAAAATGCACTAGATGTGAGAACATTTAAATTAACTAGTTGTTTTGTTTTGTTTTGTTTTGTTTTGTGTTTTGTTTTGTTTTGTTGATGCACCAGTGAATTTACGACTGCAACGAGATAGATAGATAGATAGATAGATAGATAGATTTATATTTTAATTTAGCTTCTATTTTTATTTCACTTTTAATTATTTTAGTACTTTAAATTTAAATTTTGTAATTTTTTGTTAAATAATTTAATTTGACTATTTTGTTTTATTTATTTTTTTTATTTTTTTTATTTTTTTGATGCGCCAGTGAATTTAAGGCTGCAATGAAATATCTATGGGGTCGAGGGTGTTTTGGGGCCCTGGAAAAGTTTTGACATGCCCTGACATTTGTGCTTTTTTCAGTTGCTTACAAACATAGATATGCGCGGAGAATGAGACGGCTAAAAGCACACCCTGTATATTTTCTTTATTTTGCAAAAGCACAATGTTTTGTTGATATTGTGAGTGTACACAAATAAAAGTAGACCCTTTACAGATTCGAATGGTGTATTACTCTTATGTGTACAAACAAAAATGAACGAGCATTTAAAGTTCTTTTTGCTCTTATCAGTAAAACATGCACGTGGTGGCGCCGGCGCCACCGTCGACCCCAGGAGGTTAAGGTAACAGCTGTATTTTCAAGGCCGATGATGCATGGATGGATGGTTAGATGGATAGTTGGATGGATAAATAGATATGTCATTTTTATTAGGTTTTTTATTTTTCTATTTAGCTTCTATTTTTTCACTTTCAGTTTTAGTAATTTTAGTACAAAAACTTATTTATATCAGTTAGATGCCAACATTTCTCATTTTAATCAAGAGTTTTCTTCTAATATTTACATTTTTGTTAATTACTAAAAATTATTTTTAATAGTTTTAGTTAACAATAGCAACAATGCCCTAAACCATTTACCCTCTAATTTACAGATGCGTATTTCTATGTTTAATTTAGGTTTAGGGTTCAATAAGAAATAGCTGATCCATTCAGCATACTGACAGGTGTTACAAGCGTGTTTGAAGTCAGTAACAGAGACTCACTGGAATTCTGTGGGGGTTTCCAAGAATCACTTTGCTCATACTGCATAACAGAAATCTCTCTTTCTCTTCACCCACACTCTCTCTCCATTTTTGTCTTATCGTTAAATGTTCCCCAGTGACAGTTAAGTTTAATGAGCTGCGTATGATGTGCTGGTCAAAGCCACAATGCAAAGAATTGAGTTTTACCTCGATAGTGATTGGCTGCTTCACACCACAGAGTTCCTGATAGACTCTCATATGATTTATAACTGGCTTGAGATCAGTTTTGTCCCCTGGCTGTTAATATTTGAATTTAATAAATCGATTCTGAGTCTTACAGGCACATTCCCTTCTTTATTTTGCAAGTTAGCACCAAGGTCATATGGTCTTTATGACAGCATTATGAATTGTTCTGTTCATATGCGTTAAAGGTACAATAGTACAAACATGATCATTTCATCCACATGCTCGTTTGGCAGCTCAATAAGTGATCCAATGACTCCCAGGGGTCTGGTTCCTCTAAACGAGTGTCTGCGTTCACAAGACGCACAGTATTTATTAAAGCCCATGCTGCTGTGCTGTGCTCCTGCACCATGAATCTCTCGGCCGATGGATAACCATTAACGCTATCTTACACGGGTCGCCACTTTTTCTGACATCGCTGATTTGCAGTCAGTAATAAACGTGCTTCTCCACGGCTGGTGAGGTGGCTGTATGAAGAGAAAAAGGATCCGAGAAATCAAACGCTCCCCAGCAAGGCCACATCTCTGACTATTCAGTGCTTTTCTCTGGCACAATAATACAATGTATTTTCCTTTTCTTACTCTGTGGGCTTTTTTCAGCAAATATTAATGTATTTGATTCTTCGTAGTTCATATGATTAATCAGAATTCCATGTAATTAAAGTGACGTGACATGTGGCCAAGTATGGTGACCCATACTCGGAATTAGTGCTCTGCATTTAACCCATCCAAAGTGCACACACACAGCAGTGAACGCACACACACACACCGTGAACACACACCCAGAGCAGTGGGCAGCCGTGAACACACACCCGGAGCAGTGGGCAGCCATTTATGCTGCGGTGCCCGGGGAGCAGTTGGGGGTTCGGTGCCTTGCTCAAGGGCACCTCAGTCGTGGTATTGAAGGTGGGAGAGAGATCGCTGTAAATTCACTCCCCCCACCTACAATCCCTGCCGGTACGAGACTCGAACCCGCAACCTTTGGGTTACGAGTCCGACTCTCTAAACATTAGGCCACGACTTCCCCTTCATTCATTTGATTACCACTTTAAATCACTTGACAGTAGTAAAAAGTTCAAAGTGCTTTTGTGCAAAGCAATTACCAAGCATTTGCTCGGAGAACTGACTAAAAATGCACTAAAAGTCTCATTGGGTAAAAGACTATTTCTATCTTAGACTAAAAAAATAAGTACATAAAAAGGTATCTTTACTGTGCATAATCGTCACTTTTATATCTCACAATTGCAACTTTATTATATGTAAATTTTAATTTACATGGCATGTTTTAATATCTCACAGTTTGACTGTATGTCTCCCGATGACTTAACGATTCACAATTGCAACTATTTTTTTGTTTTTGTTTTTATCTCCCAGTGTGACTTAATATCTCACTATTTTCAGCTTTTAGACATGACCTTTTATCTAATGAAGTGATAATTTACAATAAGACCTCTCACAATATTACAAAATATTTCACAATGATGATGATGACTTTTTATCTCATTAAGTGATGATAATATTTTACAGTACAACCTTTTTCTCTCAAAATGTGACTTAATATTTCACAATTGTGACTTTTTATCTTCACAAGTAACTTTAATATATCACTGTTTTGTCTCTTTTTTTCTCTCATAATTATGACTTTTTGTGTCATTAAGTGATTTAATATCTCCCAATATGACCGTATTTCTCACAAATATTACTT